CCCACGTGCCAGAAGCGATCTTATATATGTACATATAGCCTCTGTATTATTTGTAAATATTGTGTAATATACTTTTCAACCTCCGTTTGCCACTTACGTTACCCCGCCCGGTAACAATTGGCGCCCATACGTGTGAGTCAACCAGCAGCATCGCGCTCTGAGGATCTACGCCCACGCTCCCGCGACAGCCGACGCGCAACACCATGAATACGAGGAGCAGGAACACCCCGACGTCCAACTCCGGCGCCGACGAAGGTATCGACACTCAAACAACGGAGATGACCCCGGCAATCAACCCCGGTCTGGACCCGGCAACCCCGTCCAGTGGCGCCCAACACTCTCAACACATCCTCGACATGCTAAAGGCGCTGACCGACGCCCTCCAGAACGCGCAGATAACCGCATCACCGGACCTACCGACCTTCAGCGGCGACCACCTGGAGGACCCAACAGTCTTCTTCAGCACGCTCGAGCAGACAATCCAAACCACCGACCCGGCGGAAAAGTTAAAAACATCAGCAGCACAACTAAAAGGGGAGGCTGCGAAATGGTGGAACAGTTACGAGGCATTTTCACCGACATACAACGACCTAAAGAACTACACCCGCGAAAAATACGACAGCAGCAAGATTCGCGGGAAGATGCAATCAGAATTCTTCGGCCGAGAACAAGGAGCAGAGTCGCCGCAGCAATTCCTCCAGAGGAAGGCACAGCTAGCAAAACGGCTGAAGATCCCGATCGGCGAGCACCTCGAGCTACTGAGAGACCTGCTGCACCCACGCATTAGAGTAGCCTTTTTAACCACAACACCCACTTCACTCCTCGACTTGGTGCGTCACGCCGAGGAAATCGAAAACTGCAACAAAGCGCTACCTCGAAACAACCAACCCAGACCATCGCCACCAACCCCCGCCGACAGACCTCCCAACACACCAAAGTGCCACCACTGCCCGGAATATCACTTCCACCGAGACTGCCCAGTACTGACCCGCCGCCGAGACCAGGGAAACGGGGCAGCGGTCGGGAACAATGCCCGGCCGTCCACCTAATCCAGACTGCGACCCGACCCAACCTACCAACGCTGGCAGTCAAGGTACGCGGAAAAAGCGTAAGAGCTCTCCTCGACTCCGGATCATCCCATAACTTCATCCAGAAGGAGCTCGCGTGGAAAATCCACCATAGCAACCACCAAACAGCCGGCCTAGCGAACCCCGCCATCAGCTGGAAGTCATCGGCACATCCAGAGTCGAGTACACGCTCAACGACAAGCAAGAATCGGACGACTTCCTGGTGACACCAAACCTTGTCGTGCCCATGATCTTGGGACAGAAGTGGCTCCAAGAACATCGAGCGGTGCTGGATTACGAGAGAGCGTGCATCCACTGGGGAACCCATACAAGGCAGACAACACACTGGGACCAAGCTCCGAACCGCGGCCCAACAACGAGCGACTCCATAAACTTCGCCGGAGTCAAGCACGGGTTCCAACCACCACTCGATCGACGCCTGGCCACACTGCTGGAAACTTTCGGTAGCACACTTGCCGATCCTGCAACGCCCACAACAACAGCATCCACCACACATCGCATCCGAGTCACCAAAACAACGCCCTTCCGACTTCCGCCATATCGACATTCGCCAAACAAAAAGAAGGTCATCGCGGATGAAGTGGAAGCTATGTTAGCAGCGCAGGTGATCGAGCCCAGCACGTCCGAATATTGCTCGCCCATCGTCATAATTCAGAAAAAAGACGGCCGCCCGAGATTCTGCATCGACTACCGTCGTCTAAACGCCATCACAAAAGACGAGAGCACCAACCTGCCAGTCATACAGGAGACCCTCCGAGACCTGGGGACGGCCAAAGTTTTTTCCAGCCTGGATCTCAAATCAGGCTACTGGCAGGTGCCGCTAGAGACGGAATCCCGACATCTCACCGCGTTTTCAACCCCTGATGGAGCGAGTTATCAATTCAAAGTAATGCCGTTCGGGCTCAAGAATGCACCTGCTACGTTCCAGAAGCTAATGACCCAGGACGTTCTCGCCGGGTATTTACGGAAATTCGTCATGGTATACCTGGATGACATAATAATCTACTCAGACTCCTGGGACGAGCACCTCAAACATCTACACCTCGTGCTGGAACGACTGCAACGCCACAAACTCCGCTTGTCCCTCGAAAAGTGTCGCTTCGGGGTGCAAACGATCCAATACCTGGGCCACAACATCACGGCGAACGGGAACCGCCCGTGCCAGGAACACATCGAAGCAATCCGGACCGCAGACCGGCCCCCCTCGAGGAAGAAGCTAAGAAGTTTTCTAGGATTGACCAACTGGCTACGAGAGTACGTGCCCCGGTGTGCCGAATTACAAGCACCGTTGGATAACTTACTAACAAAGAACACCCCTTTCCGATGGACAGCGGCAGCCGACGTCGCCTTTAGCCAGTTAAAAGCAGCACTTAGCAAACCACTCCAACTCAGCCGTCCGGACTTCGCCACTCCATTCGTGCTGCAAACCGACGCCAGCGAAAACGGGATTGCGGCCGTACTCTTTCAAGAACCCCACCCCGGAGAGAAAAAAATTATCAGCTACGCCAGTGCCAAACTTAACCACGCGCAGAGACGCTACCATATCAACGAACAGGAGTGCTTGGCAGTAGTGTGGGCCATTAAACGATACCGGCCATATCTGGAAGATAGACGTTTTACGTTGAAGACAGACAGCCGCGCTCTCCTGTGGCTGGATCGCACAAAAGACGAAAAAAGCAAGCTAACTCGTTGGGCATTACGGCTCCAAGAATTTACATTTGATGTGGTCCACTGTCCGGGGAAAGAAAACGAGCTTCCAGACCACCTGTCCCGCCACCCATCAGCAGAAGAAGCCGAGGAAGCCACGGCAGAAGACGTAAACCGCATGCTGCCACCTACGACCACACACGAGTCCAAACAAACCAACAGCACCCCGGTAATCGCGGCAGTGGAAGTGGCCAATTTGGCGGACCATGTGAAGGAGTGCCAAAAGACAAACGAAAACGCCATCGTTCTGGTACGCACCTGGCACAGAATACAGCAGGAAGGACCAGCGACACCAGCACAAGCAAGGTTCAACCGGGATTACACGGTGGACAACGGTTACCTCTACCGCAAAGCACCCCAAGGGAACCTACTCGTAGTCCCCGGCAGCCTTCAACCAGCGGTACTAGAAGCGTACCACAACGCAGCCACAGCTGGACACCCAGGAGCCGAAGAAACGGAACGGGCCATAATGACACATTACCACTGGGCGAAACTGGGAGACACGGTGCGGAATTATGTACGAGCATGTTGGATTTGCGCGGCAGTCAAAAGAGGCCCGGTCCAGGACGCCACCGTACGCCCACGCAAACCCACACGACCCTGGGAAGCGGTTTCCGTAGACTTGATGGGCCCCTACGACGCCACACCTACAGGCTACCGCCAGATAGTCGTGATCACGGACCTCTTCAGCATGTGGGTGGAGGCATTTCCAGTAAAGGAAGCAGTCGCTCCAACAGTGGTCAGAATCCTGGAACACGAGGTATTCGCACGCTATGGTTTCCCGAGAGCGATCATCTCAGACAACGGACCGCAATTCACATCAGTGACATGGGACGCGGCACTTCGGAAGTGGGGAGCAATGCACTGGACAACGCCCATATGGCACCCGCAGGCGAACCCCGTCGAACGCCGGAACCAAGAAATCAAAAAGGGCCTCCGCACTCATCTGGTGGGACAAAGCCCCAGCGCCTGGGCGGCCGTACTACCCATTGTCATGTTCACGTTACGTACGAGGAGAAACGCCGCTACTGGACTCACGCCGAGCCACGCGCTGCTAGGCTACGACCTACCCAGGCCAGGAGAGTGGAAAGCCAGGGATCGACCACCTCCACCGACAGGAGAAGCCCGAGAGGAGGTCGTACAGACGGTGCACAGGAACCAGGCACGATCCCGCAGCCGGTACGCGAACTACGGGCCAGCCCGCACCCAGTACCAAGTAGGCGACGGAGTGATGGAAAGATCCAGGGACCAACACTCCGGGAACTTTCACATGAAGTACACAGGTCCCTACACCATCGAAGCGCTGGCGGGCACAAACGCGTACTGGATAAGGCGAGGAAACGAACTGGTAAAGGTGCACGTACACGATCTACGCCCTGCACCCAACCAACCCACCCCGGCACCAGTACCGGAACTTCCGCCAAGAATCATTTCACCGACGCCACCACGGAACCAACGACAACCCCGTCACCGCCGTTTGCTACAGCGCCTGCACCCCGCCGTCGCAACCCCTTTACAGGGGGGGGATACTGTTACGACGACTAGGAGAGGGGTTGAAACTTCCACCCCACCATCCACTAGCGCCCTATTGGCCGCGTCGCCAGACGCCTCTACCGGAAATCGTTTATAAGCAGCGCACCGACAGGGGAACTTCACTTGTGCCTGGGCAAGCCTACCTTACCCTACACAAGCGACTGAGGCTGGTCGCTTGGGCTCAAGTACCGTCTCCGCACGCCATCACTTCCCGGCTTGACCGTAGTCAAGCCCGGCGCCATCCCACGTGCCAGAAGCGATCTTATATATGTACATATAGCCTCTGTATTATTTGTAAATATTGTGTAATATACGTTTTCAACCTCCGTTGCCACTTACGTTACCCCGCCCGGTAACAGTCTTCTGTAATTTCGTAAATTTCCAATTTTC